CACGGGTAAATGTGAATGTATTTATAAGATATCAGTTGTAGACTGTTCATTTTAATATTCATCTTTTAAATCTTTATTTTAATATTATTTTATATATTTAAAATTAAAGAGTCGGTTGTACGGTTTATTATAAGTATAAATTAAGACTTAAAAGTTCGTGCATATTATTAACTTATATTTGTAATTATTTAAATGTTAGTCAATTGAAGAATGAATTCATACTTTACCTATAATAGTTTAGTAAATGTGAATCTAGATGAGACTCGTGCAATAACATGTGTTTCTTACTATTAATAGATAATGTAGTAGTTATATGAATTAAAATACAATAAATAAAAATAAGTGGAAAGAAATAATAAATATCATATTGATATTTTAAAAGAGAAAATAATTTGAGATAAATAAAAATATGAAAGATGATACTTATTGTGAAATGAAGAGAGTAAATAATTTTAAATTTACAATCTAATTTAGTGGAATACATAATTATTATTTATTGATAGTATAAAAATAAATTATATTATTAGTGCACTATTTTTTTTAATGATACATTTGCAAATGTGTTAATATTAACTAACTCTAAGTTGAATGATTAATTTTTATAATTATACGTATTAAGATATTTGATTTTTAAAAAAAATACATATTGATATTTTCAATTTGAATGTCAATATTCCGTTAAGGCAGCTAAATTGATAATAGATGGATACCAAATATTATTATAATGGGAAAGGAAGAAAATAAGTAAAAAGTGAGGTCAAGGGATTAAATTAAGGTAAACCAATTTGGACTTTTCTATTGGCTTTTATAAGTGCCACGTTGTTTTGTGTGTGTTGATGTTGAAGAATATGTATGTTTCTAGTTTTTCAGCTTTCACATGTGTCATGCTAGAGAATTTTAGATAGATGCGGTCATGTTGTGTGAGCGGTCATGGAAAGGCTTACGATTTGGTCAGCATCAAATCCGAATTAAGGCATATTTTCTGAATAGCGTGTGTTTTCATTATACGATGGTGAAAATTGATTATGAATATTATATTAATAATATAAAATTTATTATAATTTAAAAGTGAATTGAATATAAATATATTTACGTAAAAGTAAATTAAATAATAAATTTTAATAAAAAATAATGTTCATACTCAAAAGTTATAAATTATAGGTATATGTTTGATTCAGTTTTTTTGTTTAAATAATAAATTTCAATAAAAAATAATGTTCAACTCAAAAGTTATAAATTATGGGTATATGTTTGATTCAGTTTTTTTGTTTAATTTTATAATGCTATATATTTTTATTTTAAAAAGTTTTATAATTTTTCTAATTAAAAGTATAGTAAAATATTGATTTGATTTTTAAAAAATTATTTTAATATTTCATTTTTTTCTATAACTTTATATCTAAATATCAAAGTTTTAAAAAATAACTTATATTTGAATTATTTAAATAATTTTTATAAAAAATAATTTTAAGTTATATTTTTTTGAAAAAATTATGATTTTTACTATATTTTAATTTCCTATTCCTTATACACCATTTCTTATACACCATTTCCTAAAATATATTCAAAATATATTCCACATAAAAGAATAACTTTCCTATTCCTTATACACCATTTCCTAAAATCTCATAGCACAACAAAAATGTATAATGTTTTTCTTTCACCTTTTCACTCCAATATACAGACATGATCTATAAGAAACTAAGTGCCAACAACATTCTCAAGTTTAACTCAAGAAAGTGAAACAAAAATAGCATACCCTACTTCAGTTCTGATCTAATTCATCCTGAATAGTATGCAAATTATTAACTTCAGAATTTCCATATCTCAATGCAGCATATCTGTATGCCGCTACCGTAGCAACAAGAACCGCGAGTATAGCAACAAAAAACTGAAAGTTAGCTAGCAATTCACCACGAACCTCGCTGTCGACTGAATTACATGTGACATGGTTCTCCTTAATCTTACAACCATTTGGCAGCATGGGACCATAGAGCACAAATGCAGTTTGATAGAACCAAATGCCTTGAAGGGCTATGGCGATTCCGTTGCATAAATCGACTGGAAAGTTGTCAGGCATAAGAGCGCCGGCAATTGAAGATAAAACACATAGTCCTATTTGGAAGACTAGGAGGGTGTGGTAATAGCCCTCGAGACCTTTGTGTGATGTTGAATGAAAGTAGAATAGAAGATACTCAGCGGAAAATGCCATGGATGCTATCAAACATAGAATACCTTCGGGCAATGGAAGAAATCTATAATCAGAAGGAAATATGGTCAGCAAGACAGAGATTAAGAAATTCAAATTATGTTTCGTAAACCTTCTGGATGGTTCCACCCACATAAGCAGGTTTTATGACACAAACATAAAAAAGTTATTACATCACCACGGTTGGGTCCAAAAATACGAGTGATTAGCCAACTGCGCACAATTATAAAATATAGGGACCAATTCTGCGAGCGAGTGAAAATAGAAGGACCAAAATCACAATTAAGTTTTTGTTTTATCATTATAATTAAAAGGGAGGGATATTAATTAGGATGATTGATGCACTGAATGCAAGACCCGTGCCTCGACCTGCTGCTCCTCCAGACACACAATTCAGTTGCAAATACAATAAGCAAAAATTGGTGAATAATTGTAAACAACAAAACAGGTTAAATACAAGAGAGTGAGAGAGGAAGGAACTAACCTGGTGTTTTCGCTAAGTAAGGCAACAACACCATAGATAAAGAACATAAGAAGCATCCCCGAGTGCTCAAAATCATTCATATGAGAAGGGTTAAGGACACCACCAACAAATATCTTGAGGTGAGTTGAATATAAAAACTCAACGCACAAATCAATAAAAGAACCAACTGCAATAACATAGAGCTCCAAGTGCTTCACCCTCCCACCAAAACCCGATACAGGATTCCACGCCCGAACTTGAAACCTCTTAGGATTACGTGTGTATCTCACTATAGTAGCCCATATATGCCACACCCCAACTAAAAAAAACAATGTCCCCGGCAAAGCATGACCCTTGAAAGATCCCATGACTATGAACAATTTTCACCACTCTCTCTTCTGCTTAATCAACTTCGTCCCAGAACGATTTCTCAGCTATACAAAGCAGATGCACAATCTTTAAAACATATCCTCTCTGAGTACCTAAAAATTAATTTTCACACATCAAAACAAAAGCTTTTTTTCTATAGAAAAAACACAGCTTCATAAAGTCAACACCAATTTTCCAAATCAACCTACAAATTTCCCTTCACCCTACAAATCAACTATGAAGAAAAGTTGAATCTATAATCTTAGACAATGATGAAAAATTCAACTTAGTGACATAACCCCATCAGAAAAAGTCAAAAGTTGGGGGAAAAGAAAATCGATCCAATTTTCAAGTATCACACCAACCCAACAAGTCCAATCCATGAAGAACTCATGAGTAAATGATAAAGCACGTTTTTTTAAGAGAAAGATTGTGTTCTGAGAAAAAAAGTTGAGATTTTAATATAATGAACAACTTTACAAGTGAATAATGGGGTTTGCAAAAAGTAAGATAAAAATGATGATGAAAATGAAAAGGAGGATGTTATTTACTTACGATAGAGTAGTGGAAGCAACAAAAAGGAGAGTCTCTGTATTGAAAAAGGTGAGTCTCTCTGTATTGAAAAAGGTTCGATTTTTCGAAATCAAAACACCATGAGTGAGAGAATGGATTTGAGAAGCTGTGGAGTGAAGGTGGAAATTTCGTGGGATCTGAAATCCGAAAGTCTCTTATTAAATTCAAATGAATACGAGTAATTGAACTCGCAAATGGGGTATCTTTCTTTATGTCAATATATTGATTACTAGTACGACGTCACGTGAATAATCGGTATGTGCATTTATATATATATATATATATATATATATATATATATATATATATATATATATATATATATATATATATATATATATATATATATATATATATATATATATATATATATATATATATATATATATATATATATTTTAAATTGTGGTTTATAAAAATATTTATATCATTAATATATTTTTTTAAATTACAAAATTATTTGTATTAATAATAAACTTTTTTAATTTATAAAATATTTATACCAATAATAAAAAAAAATCATTTATAAAAATAATTATATCAACAATATCTTTTTTTAATTTATAAAAAATATTTGTGTTAATAATATATTATTTTCCATTTATAAAAAAAAAAATTCTAAATAAATTATTGTTTAAACCTTTCTTTACCAATAATAATTTTTTTTCTGTTTTTAAATCATGAATTTAAAATAAATCTAATTTTGTAAAATAAAAAACTTAAGTAAACACACTATAAAATTTTGTCTAAACTATTTATTTAATATCTAAACTATTTATTTTAATTAGAGACAAAATACTCATGTTGGTCCCTTAACTATATAGGTCATAGTTAGTTTGATCCTTTAATTTTTGTTCGTGTCAAATTAGTTCTTTAATTTTCAAAACGTAACCATGTTAGTCCCTTCTGTCAGTTGGATTCAAACGTTAGTTAATTTTACATATGTGACAAGTGAGCTGACATGTTATCTTCATTTCTTTATATGTGTTATTAAGAAATGCAATAATATTGTAATAAGACTTTACACTTTTACAAAATTAACTGTATTAATATATTGGAAGTATTATAGAGAGTAAAAAGTAAATGATACAATTGGAAAATAGTAATTATTACTACATTAAAAAGTGAAAATGACAGTCATTTTAAAGCAAAATTTATTTTCTAAAACGCAATCTTTTTGAAACGGAGGAAATATTATAATCTAATAGACAATATATAAAATGAGAAGCATTTTCATTTGAGGACATTAATTTATTTATTTTTTTGTAGAAACGAGGACCTAAGCTCAAAGACAAGAAAAACTCCCCAACAACTTTTCACTATTATATTTCTCAACTATCTAGACCAGCCCCCTAGGAATCTTGTGATAAACTAAGATATCACCTTTCAGCCTTTTTCCTTCAAGAGCAAGCAAGTTGACACAACCATTAATTTCTCTATACACACGACGAACCTCTTTTGCTTCAAAATTTGTCTTAGATCTTTAATATGAAGCACCAAGTTTCTAGCAGCCATATTCTTATAGTTACTTCTCATGATGTTAGTAATTACAATGTTGAAATCCGACTCCAATTTTACCTTCTTCCAACCACGATCCGCAACGAATTTTAGTCCAATAAAAATACTCCAAAACTCTGCCATCAGAGGGCTGCGGCACCTTATGCCTTTGGAGAAACCACCAATCCAAGAACCATAATTATCTCTCAGAATACTTCCACATCTCGACATTCCTTTACTTTCATGAGCACCATTGACGTTCAACTTCACAAAGGAGGACTTATGAGGAGTCAATTTAAGCAATTTCTCAACTTGACCTTTCTCCATCATCCTACTATTAATCAACATTGCTCTCTTATATTGATGCATATAATCTTCAATTATATGAATTTCATATTGGGTCGCACGAAATTATAATCATGCAACTCTTTGTTCCTCCATAGCCAAAGTGTATGATACCCCATAGCCTAATACATACTCCAGTCCATGTCTGCATGCAAATTAAGAAAAATCCACTCTTTCCATTCCAGTTGAAGTTACACACTCTTAGAGTTTGACTTAGCTTCACCTTACAAAACCGGTTGGTAAGGTGAGGAGCGTCACTCTATATGAATTCTTTCAATGCTCTATCTCCAACCAATGTGGGACTTTAGGATCTTCCTAACACCCCCCCTCACGCCCAACACTCTTTTTTTTTGGGCTTGGTGCGTGGATATTTTATGGTGGACGCCCATGGTTCGATCGATAGGCTCTGATACCATCTTAGAGTTTGACTTAGCTTCACCTTACAAAATCGATTGGTAAGGTGAGGAGCGTCACTCTATATGAACTCTTTCAATGCTCTATCTCCAACCAATGTGGGACTTTAGGATCTTCCTAACACGCACCATACTTGCAGGAAATTTAGTCTCCCATACACTACGAACAACTTTACAATCTCGCATCACATGTAAGGAAGATTCACAAACAGCACCACAAAAAGAACAACCATTAATGCCAAATCTAGACATACTCATACGATTCTTAGTAAGAAGTCTATCGTGTTTCAGCAACCAGATGAAGCTCCTAAGTCTCTCAGGGACAGGCAACTTCCATATTAGATTTCAATCCTTACTCATCTCTAAGTTACCTTCTTGCGTAAGCTTCTTGTACATTTGACTAATAGCAAAATTACCTTCTTCATTTGTAGCCATAATAAACTTGTCCTCACCACTTCTTGGTAATGGCAGATGAATAACATAAATCTTCATCTTGATATCCTCTGGAAGCCAATCCATCAAACTCTAATTCCACTATCCAGCTATATCAACCAAATTGCGAATTCGGCATTTAGCAAGCTCAATCGGGATAACCACGTTAAGATCTTTGAGATTCTTGCCTTTCTCAAACCAATTATGACTCTAAGGCTAGATATTGCTTCCCTCACCAATATGCCAAAGCCCCACATCCATTAAGTTCATGGACGTCTTAACAATAGCCTTCCAAAGGTTAGAATCAATTATTTTTTCCTGCAAAGCTCCACCATTGTCCCCAACCTTGTACTTGCTTCTCATAATGTTACACCATAGGTCCTCATCACCATTTATAATTTTCGAACTTAATTTCATGATACATACCTGATTCATCTTGTTCAGGTCCCTTAACCCAAGACCACCATCACTTTTTGCCTTGGTAACATTGTCCAACCAACCACGTGATAACATTTCTTCGCATCAGAATCACCCCAGATAAAATCTCTTTGAAGCTTCTGGATATCCTTGATACAAGCTTTAGGGAGCAAGTTTGTCATCATTGGATACACAAGAATTGTTTCCATTACACTTTTGGTTAATGTCACTCTACCCGCGAAGGACAAATGTTGAGCCTTCCAACTTGTCAGCTTCCTAGAAATGTGTTATATCACATAATTGAAATCATTATTTTTGATAGCTTTCCCTGTAAGAGGAATACCAAGATATTTTCTAAATTCATTAGTTTCTCTAATCCCGAAATATGCACAAGCTTAACTCTATTACTTCTAGTAACATTGTTAGAAAATAAAATACTGGATTTTTCCTTGCTAATCTCATGCCCTGACATAACACAAAAAGTCTCAAGAGTATCTTTGACACACACCAGCTGCTTCTCATTAGGTTCCCCAAAGATAAGTAAATCATCAACAAACATAAGATGAGAAATATTGACTCCATTCATTCCCACTTGAAAAGGTTTCCACTGTTTTTTGTTCACTACATGTTCAATTAAGTGAGATAATTTGTCCATGCAAAGCACAAACAAATAAGGTGAAATTAGGGAACCTTGTTGTATCCCTCGTTGAGGACAAAAATAATCATTCTTACTACCATTCCAATTGATGTTGGTCTCTGTGATACGGTGGGAGAGAACTGACTGTTTTTGGAATGCTTGTTCGTGTTTTGCGTTTGTTTTCGCAAGATGTCGCGGTAAGCAAGAGTCGCCACCGTCTTTTATTTTATCCAACAAGGAAAGGAAAAAAAGTACAGAAAAATTCCTTTTTCGAGATGTTTCTCGGGTCCGGGGGGTAGATTATAGAAAGGGAAGGTGTTATCACCCTTTCTATCTGTGGTTATCCACGGGCCCTTAGGTACTTGCTCAAAGTATTTTCAAAAATTGCTTTTCTTTGTGTTTGTGGGTTTGAAAGAAGTTTTTTGTTTGAAAAGTATAAGTGCGAAAAGTTTTATTTTTGTTTTTTGTAGGAGCAAGTACTTAAGAACCATCTACCTATTCGAAAAAAGGAATCAATATGTGCTAATGTCCTTTAGACAATGCTATCCCACTATTGATGAGTAGGTAGCACCGTCGTTGGAGTTTAAGGGTCAATTCGATTAAGGGACGTGCGGTCACTAAAGAAATGTTAGGACGCCTTAGCGGTAACCCTAATGTCTTAGATTATTTTTCCGAGGCAACCGTTTCGAGGCGAATATGATCTTTGGACAAGAGGGCGACCTCTAAAACTTCCTATACTCAATGACCGCATTCGAAGGTAACCAAGTGAGGTGTACCCTAAGAGTGCGCATGTGCGAGTGTGTTGTTTCGGTTAATTTTATCTTTGTACATGTCAATGGTTATCTATGTTGATTTTAGGTTTAAACATTTGATCTTGTCATGCATTCCCTATTATCAAACATCTAACAGTTTATAAGTTGCGGAAATTAAATCTAACTATTACAAGGCGTCGAATATTTACATCGCCAAAAACAACCCTTGAAATTAAAATGCGGAAAATAAATAAAGCGATAAAATAATTAAAGGTCCTATTAAACTATTACATTCTGGGAAACAGATACAATAATATGATAAAACTGGATCGCGTGTGAGAAATTAAATCGGGCGAATTTTTAGCTTAAGCTTGGAATAAAATGAATTTGCTAAAGCTTTTGAATATGCGTGGTTTGGAAGGCTTGGCAAATTGTGTGAGTACATGCGTGCTTCTTTTCTCAAGCAGACTTGTTTATATAGGCAAGGCAAAGATACATTGTCCATAAAGCAAGTTTAATGATAATAACGCACTTTCCTTTTGAAGAAGATCTTGTCTGAAGAAAGCCGTTAGCATTTAATTCTGTCTTGAATAATTAATAACGCTTCAGAGTCTTCTTTGCTTTAACTGCTGATAACGCTTCAGAGTGTTGATAACTTGGTAGAGATGTCTTTGATCAGAGTCAGAATGTATTTGTTTATGCTCAAATTCTTGTCATCAAGCTTCAGCGTATAATTTGGTAGCTTCAGCGTGTAGCATATATTACTGATCTTCTGATGCTGATTCCATCAGAACTTCTGTATATACAAAACATAATTTTAAGAAGCATATTTGTTTTATATATATCTTTGAATTTATTTATTCTTTGTATTTTATTATCATCAAAACTCTAATCAAGGGTTGTAGAATTAAACTATGTTCTAACAATATGATGATGGGTTATTGGCATTCTTAAATGGTGATTTATTCTTAAATGGATAAGTGGGGGATTAAAGGTTTAAATGACTATATTTTTAAGGGTTAATGAATTTTTTGGTCCCTTTATATATCTCAAACTTTATTTTTAATCCTTCTAAAATTTTCCTTCAAAGAATGGTCCTCTTAAAAATTTAAAATTTAACTTTTGGTCCCTCTTACAATTTAGCGACGGGTTTAGCTACGATTTTTAGCGACGATTTTTAATTTAGCGATGGAATTAGAGACTATTTTAGCTACGATTTTGTCATGAGGAACCAAAATTAGAGACTATTTTACCTACAAAATTTTAAAATATCATAATTTCATATGTTAATTCTTTAAATTTAAATTCTAAATATAATCATCACTCACAATAAAATAATATAAAATACAAATTTAAATAAATTTTTAATCAAATCTAATTACAAACAAAGGAAAATTATTTTAAATAAATTTTGAATAAAATTTTATTTCAATTTACTTTATTTTTTTTAAATTATCAAAATTGTGTTATTTTGTTCGAGAAAAAAAATCATGCATTTGAACAGTCGGTTTTCTAAAACGTCCGTTCGTCAGTTTTTTTTTCTCCGATTTTGACCGACTTTGTCCAATTTCTACCAGTTCAATAGCATATCCGGTCGAACAATCAGATCATATTGGTGACCCCTCTAGTTTCCGATTCGACCGGTCTAATCGGCTAGTTCAGTCCGGTTTTTAAAACACTGACTCAGTGTAAATAAGTGTTACACAAACACTCAATTAAAATATTTTAAATTGTCAAATCATATACTCCCTCTGTCTCACTATATGTGTTCTCTTTGAATTTTTCACACTTTTTAAGATAATGATTAATTATGTTGGTTTTAATGATAAAATGAGTCTCATTTATTAAAATAACCTTATTAATCTATTATAAATATATATCTATTATCTATTATAAATATATAAAAACAAAAGTATCTGGAAAAACCACAAATACCCTATTGACTTCACGTTAAAACTTTTATGATTTCAGGGTTACAAGTGACTTTTTCAACCATTGCTTCAATATTATTCATTTGGTATTTAATGCTGCTTAGGTGTCACTCTTATATTTTTCCACTTTGATTTTGATTTTATTTTATAATGATTTTAATCTCTAATTAAATATGGAAGTGTCTATTAAACGTCAAAGCAACGTATGAAAATCTAGAAAAACCAAAATCATTTATTGCACAATGGAAAGTCCCACTACTTCCCATGTTCATCATCAATTTGTAACAAATGCATTATTAATCTGAGCATATAACATAAAAGTCACATACAGACTGAGAAGTTGCCTCTCTATTTCTTCTTCAAAACATCATCAAACCACCATTTCCCAACTATTTGTTTCACCGCCACAATTTCCATTTTT